CCTGGCAGCTGGAGTTGGCCCCACGTCACGCCCAGCTCTCCAAATCCCAGGGCCGAGGGAGCCGGGCCGCGAGCACCGAGCACCGAGCACCGGGAGCAGGCCTCCCTGCCTGTGCTCGCGTCCCCCCACGCCGCCCACCCTGCGGCCAGCACGCCCCCTGAACAGCCCAAGCACCTCCCTTGGTCATTAACAACCTGCTCAGCATAATGCATTGTGAGCCAGCCTGGCGTAAGACAGCGCGGGGACGTTCTTTGTGTTGCTGCGGCTTTTTGTCTGGCCACCCAGTACTGCCTGCAAACCCTCCCTGCGTGGGGTAGGGTCCCGCTACCTTTCTATGTGAGAGTTTCCGCGGCACAACCACAACGAGCACACGGACGGCACGCCTGGCCAGCTGTCCCGCTGCCCGTCCAGAGCGCTGCCCACGGCAGCTGGAAAGTGAGCGTCTGGCCAGCAAACCCTACGGGGGCAGAAAGGAACACCCACCAAAGGTCGGAACGACGGGGCCACGAGGAAAAGGTGAACGTCAGCTGCAATAAAGTCCAGCGAGACGGGAGACGTTTGGGAGATGCAGCCACTTCATCGGGTCCTTCAAAGGCGAGTGGGACCCAGGAACTTGGAAATGAGAACGGGAACCTGGATGGTGTGAATGAGAGTCCAGGCAGTGCCTCTCCCGGGCCACCCTGTTCTCAGGGCCTCGGGGCCCCTCGCTCAAGTGCTCTTCGCTCCGGCCTCTGAGTCCAGGCCTGTGCTGATCAGCAGAGAAGCAGAGGTCAGAATTCCAGGACTTTCCCCAAGACTTACACGGCTAGACAATGAAGGACGAGGACTCCCCGGGCGGCCACCCAGAGTCCTTGCTTGAGCCCATGTGCTAGTGGCTGCCTGATGATAATTAAAGGAGGAAACCCCTGCTCTGCCCCCAGTGGGCAGACTCCTGGCCTGATGTAGCCAGCTGTCCACTTCCTGGCGGGGCGGGCAGCCCGCTGCCCACTGGGGGCCTGGGCAGAGCCTGGAGGCTGGCCTGCCGCCTCCACGCGGCACACTCCACTTGAGCGGCCACCCTGAAGGGCCAGGTGCCCCCACCTCCTGCCCTTCTGTGGGACCCTGCGGACCCACCCAGACCCTGCCCTCAGCGCACAGCATCTGGGGCAGGGCGCAGCCGGAGGGACAGGCCATGGCCCAGGGCAGAGCCACCGGTTGAGCTGTGGCCGGTCTAAGCTGGGCGTTGTCGAAACACAGGGTAATTTCCAGTCCGATCTGGGTCCTCCAGCTCTCCGATGCTTCCAAAACTCTCCTGCTCACAACAGGTCTCTTCAAGGAATAAAATCAGTCTATCCGATTTCCTGAGAAAACCATAACCCGGGGTTTCCTGTGGCTGGCGTCTCAGTCTGTGCCAGCACTCGGCAGGGTGGCTGCTCCCTGCAGTCTCGGCGCCACCTTCCCCCATGACCGACAGATTAAAGAGCAGAGCCCAGACCCCCTGGCACGCTCTGCGCCAGTCAGGGAGCTGAGCTGCCGGCGCAGCCTGTCCACCCGCTCACGGGGCAGGTGGGCTGGGCGTCCCACGCAAGCAGCCCTGCGCTCGGCGGCCTGGTGCTGGGGCCCCAGAGAAGCATCGGCGCCCCTGGTCGGCCCTGCCTGCTCTCTCCTCCCCCAGTGCCACCTGTTCAGGAGCAAGAGCCGTATCCCAAAAACACCCTCTTTCAGAAACCATTCAGAGCCAAATAATGTCCAGGCCAGTGAATCTGAGTTCCCATAAAACACCTTAAAGGACGGAAGGACTTCCAGGGTCACCACATAAAGCCCCTCAGAGAACTGCCCCTCAGTGACCCCAGCTGCCCACAAGCACCCCTGGAGGCTCTCTCAGAAGTCCCCAGGCGAGGACTTCACCTCTGTCACGACAATGCCTAGAACCAAACACCAGAACCGCAACTCCAGCAGGTCTGCAGGACGCTGCCCTCAGCTAACTAAGGCAGCCCTCCTGCCCGCAGCCCCGGGGACACTCAGGCCCCACAGGGGGATGGCTTGGTTCGGCCACCCCGGGGTGCAGTTGAGGCGAGGCAGGCCGGATTACAGCCCAGGGGTCCCTGGCACTGAGCCAGCCCTCGGAACTTGGGGCTGGTGCTCTCTTGGGCCCAATGGGGCTCTGCTTCATTTCTGCAGCTCGGGGCTGAGAAGATACAGCTGTAGGAGCCAGAAGCTGTCCTGGCCAAACCACCTTCCACACGTTCCACGCACCACGGAGCTGCAGGTGCGCACGTCTCGCCCAGGGCTGAAGGGGGCTGGGTTCCCCAAGCTCATCTCCAGGGACTGCCTGGCTCACCAGGCCGTGCTGACAGCAAACTCAGGAGGCCCAGAGACTCCAGCTCAGAGGACCTCCCTTGCAGAGGTGCCGCCCCGTGGCCAGAGGGCAGAGAGACGCCAACCAGGCCCGGCCATTGTCGCAGAGCGACCGCGAGCCTGGCGCCCTCCCGTGCGACCCTCGCGGCACTGTGCAGGAATCGCTGCGGCACAAGGCCACCTGGCGGAGCAGGAAGACGTTTCCGATGGGTGCTCATTCCCTCCCTTCCCGGCGAGACGTAGCTCCATAGCCCAGGGACTCGGAAGCCAGCTGCGGGTGGCCGTGGCGGCCAGAGGGCCAGGAGCCACGGGAGGGGAACTCTGCAGGGCGGCGGCGGAGCTCTGTGTGCGGGAGGAGGGCTCGGAGAGCAGAGAGGGAGCGGGTGGGAGAAAACCCCTCTCAAACCGGCACCACAGGCGGGTCCGACCGCGGGTGTGCCAGTGTGGCCCGGGGCAGCGTGTGGCAGGTGGGAATACTCCCAACCAAAATCCAGATTTCCTTCTTCATCCAAATCCAGTCGTTCTGGCAAAGCTGCGTCCACACTGCCACCCGGCCACAGTCAGCTGCTTGAGGAACAGGGGAGCCTCGACTGGCAAAGGCTCCCGGTGCACCCCATCCCCTGCCCAGCCTGCATCTGGGGCCTTGAGCATGCTCTGCAGAAGCTGTTTCTGACCACGGAGCCCTGCCTCTCCCCTGGGCTTCTCTCTGAGGTGGGAGCAGGGCGGAGACCACGAGGGCGCGGGTCCGAGGTAGGAGAGCTCCTCGTGCAGGGGCCCAGGCAGTGGGCACAGGCCGCGTCACTCACTGCCGCTCTGGAGGCCTCTCCCGCATGCCCGCAGTGCCGCCCCGAGGCACAGAGGTGTGTCTGCCACCCCGCAGGCTCCTGTGTGCCCCGAGCCCACCCCACGCCAGGGCAGCAGCAAAGGAAAGCATGTGACCAGGAGGCAGGCACAGGGCAGGCCCTGACGTCAGCCAGAAGGCTTGGGAGGAAGGGGCGGAATGAGGCAGGAACAGAGGGCCGACAGATTTCCTGGACCTGTTCACCATCCCTGCCCGTCCCGGTCAGGTGTGGGAGACACCGGTCCCCGCTCTGTCTCCCTCTCACCACTGCCCTGTCTCCCAGCCGGACGTGGGCCTGCCCTGCCTGCCCCGCCCTGCCTGCCCCGCCCTGCCTGCCCCGCCCTGCCTGCCCTGCAGTGTGGCTCCCGAACCTTCCTCGGCCAGCACCGCCTCCGCGGGGCCTCAGCTGGGTCAGCCAGAGCCGCACACGCTGCCACAGCACAGACGCGGGGATCACCTCCAATTCAGGAGGCTGGAGCGGGCCAGCGAAGAGCCCTGATTGGAGCCAGCTCCTGCCAGGACCTGAAGTGGCCCCACCGAAGCAGAGAGGGGTCGGGACAGATAAGGCCTGCCCCTCTCCAGACCAGCTCCTGGCTGAGGCCCAGGTCTCACCGGCAATCCCCTTCCGGAAGTCCCCCACCCCGTTGCCTGGCTCCACCTGTCAGCCTGTTGTGTCCTGTGCTCTGTGGCTATGTCCCAAGGACCCTGGGGGGGAGTCCATGTGGCCCCCAAAGTTCCCAGTCACTGTAGCTGGAGGAAGCACTGGGCTGCGAGTCCAGAGGTGAATGGCGCCTCATGTACTCATGCTCGGCCACCTGGACCACCCAGAAATGGCTCCGGGCTTTGGGGCTCCACCTCCCACAGTAGAAAGTGCAAATCCAGGAGCATGGCATTCGGGCCTTCGCACTCCGGCCCCGCAGGCCCCTCCACCGGGCCCTGCACCCTCTCCCGTGGGCACGCACCACACCAGCCGTCCTCCGGAGAGCCCGTGTCCCGCCCCAGCCCCAGCGCTGTTCCCTGGGCCTAGAACGCCTGTCCCTCCCTGCAGAAGACCCCCAGGAGGCCCCATCATGCTCTCGTTCATCCCCCAGACTCTAACAGGGAACAAGCTGGAGACACCCTGGGGGTCTGTCCCACCACCTATTAGCAGGAAAAAGCCCACAGCTGCACCAGCACCCCCACCTCCAAGCCCCCATGACAGCGAGGCCTCAGGGGAACGGACGCCCCCAGGCCCTGTCTGGGCCCTGCCCTGCTCCTGGCCAGCACAGCCATCTGACCCATCACAGGAGGACAAGGCTTGGTGCCGGGAACTGAGAGACGACACTGGATGAGTCCACTCCTCCAGCGGGGTGCCCAGAAATCCCCGAGGGACAGCCACAAGAGTTCCTTTCTCTGGGCCTGACAGACGCCCCGAATGGCTTCCAGCCTTCACACGCAACAGCCACTGGGACGAGAGTAAATCTCGGAAAACCACAAATCCCAGCAGCTCCCACCTCTGCGACGGAAGTTCCTGCACAGGCAGGCGGGGAGCCCCGTCGGGAGAGGGGCCTTCTAAGCTGGGATGGCTGCCCCGCACGGACCCCACCGACAAGCGGCCAGTTAGCTCCTAGAACCCTGACCCATGACCAGGAGCAACCTACGAACACAGAGCAGTCACTTTTCAAACATCCGCCGCTCGGGGCAGGGGTCCTGCCGACATTCCCGAGTCTCAGCCACGCGAACGCAAGCGGGAGGGCATGGCCGGCGTCACCGACGGAGGGGAGCAGGAGAAAGCAGGTCAGTCTGCCCATCTCCAAAGCCCCAGCCAGCAGAGCCGACTCACCTTTCAGGGAGGCCACGTGTGTCAGCGCCTGGGCGTACGTGGCCGTGTTCAGGAGGGTCCCTGGCAAGCAGGAGGGAAAGAAGGGTCCTGTGGGGGCCACCGTTCGCCCCAGGCTGGCAGAGAGAGGAAGCACATGAGTTCCCAGCCGAGTGTGCCCACCAGCCTTCAGGCCCAGGGACCCGCCGGCCTCACCTCTGCTGGGCCTCCAGGGCCTCCTTCTTGCTCCGCACCTGGTCCCCAGGGGGTGGGGAATTGACATTTCTCACAGGCGGTGACGTCACCTCTGCCATGGACTCCTTGGCTCCTGGCTCCTGGTCAGAGGACCCTCTTTCTGTTTTCCTCCATTTGGCCCGTCGGTTCTGGAACCAAACCTGGACCCCAGTGGAGAAACACCCAGACATGAGGAGGGGAACCGAACCCAAGCCCGCGTGCCGGGGCCCGTGCCACACTCACGGCTCACCCCCAGCCACCCTGAGCTGCGGCGCAGACCCGCAGGGGTCCGAAGGCCGGTGCAGAGGACAGGGCCGCACCTTCTTGACGAGTGTTACACCAAGGAAGTGTCCAAATGCCTTGCCCAGAGTAAAGGTGAAAGTGGTTTGTGGAAATTCTCAGTGTATGTGAGTATTTTTATCTGATGTGAAAGTATTTCCTGGGGGTGGAGGGGAATATCATACCATTTATAAACACTGCCTGGGGTTTCTCATCAAAATACTCATTCACACTTCCAGCAGGTGTGTCCTGAGCCCCTGAGTGTGTCTGGCCCCACCCTCGCGATGACCCCTGAAGTCCTCTCCTGCTCACCATGACAAGTCCCTGAGCAGCAGTCCAGTGCACCCATCAGAAACATGAATCTGGGTCAGTTCCGGTTCTGAGCTCTGAACCCCGGTGGATCCCTTCGGAGTCCGCCGCAGTCCTCTGAGGGAGGCAGCCCCCATCTCCATTCTCAGATGAGAGAACCGAGCCCCAGACGGCAGTTATTTGCTCAAGGTCATGCAGGTGGTGCGTGGCAGATCCACTATTCGAAAGCCAGTGGCTTGGCTAGGGGCCGTGAGCCCCTGTGCTAACTGTGCTAACAGGGGCCACCCCGCATTATTCGGAAGATAACACAGACACACGGAAAACACTGGGCAGTGCCTGGCGCATAGCGAGCCATCCCGGGTAAACAGTAGCTGGTGTTACCATCTCTGCCGTTCTCAGGTTAGGAGGCAGCTTATGATCCACCTGCTCTGAGTACCTGCGTGAAGGCTGGTGTGGAATTCTTCAAGCCTCGGAAATCAAGACTGCATTTGCATACGAACAGCCTCAGGGCTGCCAGGCAGCCCTGGCCCAAGGTGTTTCCAAAGGTCAGTGAATCCTGCTGCTCTCTACTCCTTCCAGCAAAACCTCTTTCCCGCCCAGCTGCTGTGGCTCAGTGGTTGAGCAGTGACCCTGCACCAAGAGGTCACCGGTTCAATTCCCCATCAGGGCACATGCCCACGTTGTGGGCCCGATCCCCAGTGGGGAGCATGCAGGAGGCGGCCAGTCAATGTTCTCTCTCATCGATGTTTCTATCTCTCTCTCCCTCTCTCTTCTCAAAAAAAAAAAAAAAAAAACCACAATAAAAAAAATATAGTAATAATAAAAAACTCTTCCCCCTTCTCCTAAGAGACAATTCCTGGCTTAAAAACCAATGTTGGGTTAGACCTCCCTCTGGTTCCCGTTCCCCGGGGCATCGCTCCTCCTGCAGGCGGACGGGCCCCAGAGCACCCCCTGCAGCCCACTCCACCTCTGAATTTCCACCCTCCTTTACCGGGCTTTCTTTCTCTCTTCTTAAATCTAGTTGGCTTTTAATTGCACATATCAGCAACCATTGAATAATGATTTTATCTATATTCTAAATTTAGGGCAGTTAAATGCAAAGCAAAATGCAGACACTTTCTTGCGTCTTAATTGAATGAAGGTCACAGCTATGACAACATTTAATTGAGCTATTTTTCATTATCATATTTTAATGACTTTGCACTGACAGTTCGCCTGCTTCTGAGGAAGGAGCATGATGGAGTCGTTTATTTCCCTATTTAGTTATTGTTTGACAACATCAGCTTTGATTAAGACCCTGCTTTATAGAACATTAATCATATTTGAATGAGCAAGCAGTGTAAATGTAAACACAGCTCCCTTCCCGCCACCGAGCCGAAGCCAGTGTCCCCGCACGGAGCCCACAAACAAATGCTTCACAGCCATTGTCTGTCTGCAGAACAGCACAACAGCCTCCACCACGAGTCCCAGCTCTAATTGTCGCCACCCTATCTCACCCTTGCACCTTTCAGGGAGAAGTTATGATCTTCCACTTCTGAATGCTCAATAATTGTGTCATTTATCTCAATTTGCAGTTCAGTCTTTAGGCAGCTATTGGCAAGCTGCATTAAAAAAAGAAAGGACAGACTGCATCCTGGCCAAAGGAGATTTTCATTTCCAAATAATAATCAGTTTAATTTGCCCACATATGACCAATGATTCATGTTCAGATTTAATAATCAGGATCACATAATCTGATTATAGGGGAAATAATTTGTTTACAACCCCAATTTACTGCTCAGAATTCCATTATCTCTCTTCAGCCATTGGTTTTTAAGAGATACTAACATGACCCAGGGGAACCGAAAGCAAACTATTATATTTCCTACAATTAGATCTTTGCATAGTCTTAACCCCAAGCCCCTACATAAAAAAAGAACAAAACAGCATGGAGGAAACCCCATAAATAAAATGAATATATAATTGTGCTCAAAGAATAGCTCGCCTGGAGAGGCAGCGCTGTGAATCCGTTCCCCGCGCTCCAGCCCATCTGCTGGGCTCGGCGGGTCGTGCACTTAAACGGAATCACGGTGCAGCTTCTACAATGAAATCTCACTCAGAGATGGTCACTGCAGGCCACGCTCGTCTCTGCACAGCCCCTTCGCTGCTGCCTCTGAAGATTTTTAAGTGGCACACGTTCTCCGGACTCACTTCCCTAAAGTGTCCGCCTGCCAGGGAAAAGTTGGGCATAATGCAAGTTCTGGAAAGCAGAACCTAAGCCTGTTCCCATCTGAAAACCCAGTTCTCTGCAATTGACCGGCCCGCGCCCAGAGTGGTCAGAGCTGCTTTGAGAATAGCATCTCAGCTCTTTTTTTTTTTTTTCCAAAGCAAGGAAATGGATGTGCATTGATGTAATTTAGTACCTTAGAGACGCGGACAAATTAGTGTAGAACATTATCACTAGTTAATTATGAATGACCGATTAATCAACCTAATCTAATATTCCACATTATGTTGATGTTATTAAAGTGCATCATGAAAATGACAGATAGTCTTCATTTGCTTTCTTTGGCCAAATGTGCACTCTGCAGTCATGATGTCAAAAAAAAGTTTGCCAGTTTTAATATTAGGGAGTTAAATAATTGAGCAGAAGGCTCACCTGCACTCTGGCTTCCGTGAGGTTTATTTTCATGGCCAGCTCTTCTCTGGTGAAGACATCGGGGTAGTGCGTCTGGGCAAACACAGCTTCCAGAGCCTCCAGCTGGTGCAGGGAGAAGATTTACTGGTGAGAGGTTGCGGCGAGGTGAGAGGAAGCAGATGCATATTTCAGACTTGCTAACGGTGGCGAGGAAGTTGTTTCGCAGATCAAGTAGGGAGAGAAGAGCTATTTGAAAGGATCCCGCAGGTTTGAAATTTCAACCGCTGACAATTTAGGAGCTCAGTCTTGCTGACAACCTCAGTGCTCCCCCAAGAAGTAGAAATGAGAAGAGAGGTGCAAATATTTACACGCGTTTACACTTAAATATATTCCTAAGACTCCAAATGGAAGGGTGGCCTTGTGGGTGGGGCCCACCCAGCACCCACACGGGGTGGGAGGAGAGCAACCTGCAGGCGCCCTCACGCTGTCGGTCCCACAGAAACTGCAGGGCTTTGAGCAACTTCCTGGCGGCGCTAGTCTGCTCCGAAGGTGGAACAGATCTAAGAGAAGGAGCCCAGGTCCGGGAAACACAACATCAGAGTTCCAGTTGTAGCCCTTTTATTTATGGGCGACAATACCTTCTACAAACCCGTCCACTTCTAGGCCCCAGTCTCTCTTCTACCTACCCGAGGACAAGAATGTCCCACCTGCTTGTTTCAAAGGGTATTCCAAGTTTCCAACGGTATCGCTGGTGTTCGAATGCCCCCCAAACTATCGACCTGAGGCGAATGGGAGCAGTCATCGTTGCCTCTTCACTTACCGTCTGAGACCATCAGGTCCAAGTCTCTCCCTCTCCCCAACAGATTCCTTGACACAGAAGTTGTTTAAGAAAACGAAGGACCATGGGAACATGATCAGTTGGCCCTACTTTAACAGACAAAGGGGAGCAGCTAAAGCTCCGCTGTTTGGGAGGCAGGAAAGAGCTGTTCCGGGAGAACACCAGCCTTACCTGCTGCAGAGTGAACGTCGTGCGGTTGCGGCGCTGCTTCCTGCGCAGGAAACCATCGTCGAAATCTCCAGTGGGGTGGTTGCCAAAGGGGGCCGTGCCTGCTGGGAGCAAACGGGCAGCCTGAGCAGAGGCCCCCGTCCTGGCACCATCCGGCTGCTCTGGCTCATTCGAAGGCATCGATCTGACCCCTCCGGACAGAGCCCTGCCTTCCCGAAGCATCTTCCTCTGCTCCCCTTATTAGATTCCTTCTTTTCCACTCCCTTGTGCTCTCCCGTGCCCAGTAAACTATGACTTTAGGCCCAACTATACCTACTTCATAGAGCAAGTGGTGATCTTATTTCCCAAGACAGCCACGTTCTTCTGGGGAAATCCGGGGCTCAGGCCAGAAGGGCCACTGGCTTGAGGGGACGCCCTCATCCGCCCCCCAGACCCCTGCTGCACTCTGTTCGATGAGCCTCGCTCCCCACCTCAGAGCTTTTCCCAGAAGCTGCTGTTTCCTTTGCTCGCCTGTTAGTCTACCTGCCTGTACTCCTAGGAACAGGGGTTAAAGGCTCGGGGTGGGGAAGGGAAGAAATCATCAAGAGCTTTTCACAGTACTTGCCCCCTAGAACTTCAGGACATGAGGAGGTAAGTTTATAAATGAATATTAATGATCATTGGTCACAGCCCACCAGCACACCGGTGAATCAGTTATGCCGCTGTCTATGCACGAGAGAGCTGCCCCAGGAGGGGCTGTCCAAGCAGACCCACGCAGGCCACGCTCCCAGGCACCCGCCTCCTGCCAGGCTCATGAAGACCCGCTGCTTCTGCCTCCCCGAAAGGTCAGGCCCCTTGCCGCTGTCCTCCCATCCGCCTCCAAAGTTCCTCTGCAGCCAGACAGGCTCCGGCCCTCAATGTGCCTTCAGAGCATCTTCCAAATGTGCCCATTTACCTGCCAGTCCACAGTGGCTGCTCAGGAAAACAAGTGAGCAGGTTCCCATGAGCCAGTGAGCGCTGTACCTGCCGCGGGCTCTGGGCTCAGAATCACTGGGTGTTCGGGGTTAGAGCTGGCAAGCCACACGCCCGGACACCGTCCCCCACAGGGACCTCAGTCCCAAAGACGCAAGGTCCTTTAGGGTTTAAAAATTCTGTCACTGAAGGGAGTCCCTCATACTTATTACTCTCCTCTCCAGAGCCACATTTCCCCCCACAACCCCTCTCTCTGCTGAAGCTTCTCCTCCATCCCCTTGTCCAAACCGCATTCTTCTTCAAAACCCGTCACAAACATTTCTCTCCAGTTCGCTGGAGGCCTCAGAGAGCAGCTGGCAGCAGTCTTATGTCTGTTACTTTGCAGAATAGCGAGCGGTTCCCTTTTGAAACGAAGCACCTCCCTGGCAAGGATGGAGCTCAGCCCTGAGCGGCTCCACCAGCCTCCGTCTCCCTTGCCTGCTGGCCCCAGGCTGGCTCACCTCGCACGCACTCGATTCCTTACGTGAAACCCTGCCTGTCAAACCGAATCTTAAAAACGGCTGACGCGTCATCAGATTAATTAGAACAAAGATAGATGATCTAATAGAAAAGAGGAAAATACGAGAGGAGGCTTTTTACTTAGAAATAAGTAGAGTGGTCAAAAAGGTTATGAAAACGTTAAACCTTGTTGATAATTGAAACAGAACCATTAAGTACTGTTTCCAGCATGCTTCCCGGCAGTGCTCGGGCAGCGACACCCGGCACAGCTGGGAGTGTGGCCACGCACCCGGCAGCTCGGGCAGCGACACCCGGCACAGCTGGGAGTGTGGCCACGCACCCGGCAGCTCGGGCAGCGACACCCGGCACAGCTGGGAGTGTGGCCACGCACCCGTCTGTGGCAGCAGCTACTCGTGCTGCCTTATTAGAGCGTAACTTGACAATTTTCGTCAAAAATTTAAGTTCACATACCTATGACTATACTTAAAAAGGGTGGCAAAGCAAAGAGAGAAGACTGTTCCTGGCAACATGGTAATAAAAATAATTTAAAAATAAAAAACTGAATCAACTGAGCTCCCCTCAGCAGACACTTTCTAGCCAGCAGCTGCTGGAGTACGACACAGCCATCTCCAAGAAGTCTGTAGACCTCTACACATCAACATGGAAAATATCCCCAAAAGACATAGTATGCAGTGAAAAAAGCCAGGTCTTGAATGACTTGGCAGTATGATTTCAGTATAAATAGCGTGTAACACAACAGAGAGAAAAACACACAAACCAGGGTAAAAACCTGTTCTTCTGGAAGGAATCACCACAAACCAACCACAGGGAGTGCGTTTCAACAAAGGAAAAGAAATGAAAGAGAATTTCACTTTCAATGTATAGGCTTCCGTTCTAATTTCCCAAGCAGATCTATGGAATACTTTTTAATTTAATACCACAAAATATCTCAGGAGTGAGATTATAAACCATGCTGTATGTTCTGCTTTATGCTTCTCTCGATTAATAAAAAATAAAAATTAGAAAGCTGATAGGCTGTAATGAGATGTCCTCTTCCAAAGGTCTGTTCCCGCCTTTCCACCTGCAGCACATCACCTCCTCTCCAGAAACACCACACAGTGCTGTCTGCAAAACCGCCTCAGAAACACCGCTGCAAAGGGATCAAACAAAAGGTTCCGAAAGACCTATTTTCTTTTCCGATTTCTTCGGAATAGCGTGGAGACGGGGTGTGCTGGGGGTGTGGGAGGAAAGGTGAGCTGGCTGACAGCTGTGAGGAGCTCCGTGTGCTGCAGCTGGAACTCAGGACAGGCGGAGAGACGCTCCCCAAGTGGCTTCTGCGACCCGCCCTGCAGAGAGCACTTTCCCCTTAAGTCATCCTCACAGCTCACCACCTGCTAAACACCCCAAACCTCAGCCTGCCTGGCTTTGACCAGAGGGGGGGCCACTGGGTACCAATCAGTCAAATCCAAGGTTCAGAAGTGCAGGGAAGACGTATCCACCACACACTGGGAGGGTCTCCCTCCAGGCCTGGGGTGTAATGTCAGGGGATGTACCTCTCCGAGCTTTTCATAAAGCCAATTGTCATGGATCCTTTGAGGTAAAAGGAGGTGAAATGTAGCTAAGTGTCTGGACTTTCCTTCTTAGAAATGCTGACCAAGCGGGCAGGGTTTAAACACTGGTCCTCATTAGCCCCTTCTAAAAAATCCTACTGAACTCTGAAACGCTTCCTTGGGAAAATATGAACTTCTGAACCTTACATGGTTGGCCAGCTGAGGCTCAGCCACTGCTCAGGGTTACCCAGGGCAAGATGGACAAGCATCCTCTGATGTCTTAGGTTCCTCGGTGTCTCACCAGCTTTGTCCTGCCCAGACTTCCCTGACCGCTTAGCCTCCAAACTTCTTCCGCCCCACAAGCAAATCAAAGGAGTAGGTTGCCAAAGCCAAGTACTGGGATCACTCCCACAGTTAGGAAAGTCCTAATGTCCGGCGGCCAGGACTACTCTTCTGCCCAAGGCCCTGTTGAAAGGCCAGCGTGTGCTGCTCTGCCTTTGCTTGCTGGACACTACTCGCGCTGTGCAGCCACTCCTGGACTTCCACTTCCCCCTCCCTGGGGGCACCAGAGATCCAAGCTGCCCCCTCTCACCTACCCCCACCTGGCAATGCAGTACAGAGACCACACCTAAATCCTGGAGACCCTGGAAGCCCCGAGTCCTGGCCACGGGGCGGCCCCTGGGAGTGAGGAGCAGTTGGCATTTGAGGTCAGTAATCCAGTGAATCACAGAGATGCAGCCAGGCCAGAGCACTGGGTCCCTGGTGGGCAGAGTGACTGGCTCTCCAAGGGCCACCAGTGGCAGTAGCAGACATCCCCACCCCTGCCCCCAGCAGTATTGCTCTGGGCCCCGTGAGAGCAGCAGGCAATGGGTCCTTCAGCTCTTGGTCCGACCCAGGACAATTCGAGTTTATTCCTTAGTCCACCTTGGGTTTTCGTGATGTTTGCAAAACACCGTGAAAGATTGATTCGGCCCCCTGGGCGGGGGCCTGGGAAGGGGTAGCGATTAGAGGCGTGACACCAGCATCTGTGCTGGGAGGACCCTGCTGGTCCCTGCAGCATAGCCGGAGGCCGGCCGCCCAGCTCAGGCGGGGACAGAAGTGGGAGGCAGGTGGCGACGGGGCGGGAGGCTGGAGCGGGGGACCGGCAGGGAGCCAGGGGAGCCCTTACCCACCGTCCTGCGGCTGCACCTCTGGCAGGGCGGGCACTCAGCCACCCGCCAGCCCCACTGTCGCTAGGGTCCTTTCTGGCGGGCGCGGGCGCGGGCTTTCCGGAGGGGCCAGGGCGCGGCGCTTACTCACCCTCAAGCTGTGGTGGACAGTGGAAATAAAACATCGCCGACGGCCCGGTCTTCTGGACGGCCCGGACTCGGGAGGGTGCCCGCGGGGCCAACAGGGGCGCCTAGCTGCGGCTTGGCTGCAAAGCGAACAGCGACAGTCTAAGTCTCCCTCTGCCCGGGCCCTCGCCCGGCCCGGGAGCGCACCGTGAGCCACCCTCCGGAAAACGCCCTCCCAACGCCCTCAGCCCACTGTGGAGTGGAGAGGTGACAGCGCCGTTTCAAACCCGGTGGGTCCACCTCCCCTACAGCCGTGCCCCCACGCTAGCCCCAATACCAAACCCGCTCAGTCCCGGCTCGCAGGGGTCCCCGGCGCAAGCGCTGCGCCCAGGCCACCGCAGCCGGTCCGGCGAACGCGCCAGGCCAGACGCGCGAGCGGCAGCCGGGCCGGGAAGCAGCCGAGCCTCTGCCGGGCGCGCGGGGCCCGCTGAGCCGGCCGGGAGCCGCGGGTACCTCGGCGGGCGGCGGGCGAGGAAGGCCGGAACGTGACGGCCTCGGGTCCGCACGCCGGGCTCGGCTGGAGGCGGGCGGGGCTCGCGCGGCTGGCGCCCACAAGACCAGAAAAGTGGCTCGGGAAGTGGCCAGATGTCTTGCTGTCTGTCTACAGCGCGCGCCGCCGCTCAGCACTCGCCTTTATAATCTCACGCATAATTGGCCTTAATCTGATTATTTCCAGCGCTGTCTACAGCGAGTAACTTGGATAGGTCTATTGGGCCTTACAAATGGCCCACGTGGTGTAAAAAAAAAAAAAAAAAAAAAAAAATCCGTCATTTCTCAGCAAACACCAGGAATCTTTTCCCTCTTTTCTTTTTAAAGAGGATAGTAACAACCATCACTCCCACCACCCCGCAAAAAGACATTATTTTCTTAACACTCCACCCCAGTCCCATTTAAACCCCCTAACGCAAACCTTCTTTCTCCGGGAGAGTTTGGATGTGGGCGCCCTTGTCATGGGCCTGCCAACTGACAAAGCGATGCTAATTTTCGCTGCCGGATGGGTTTTGAGGGGACTCTTTGCACACGGCTTCCCTTTCCAAGCGACCGTACAAAAGGAAAGTTTGATTTTGTTCTCAGCAAGGGGTCCCTGAATTTATGGTTGCTTCTCGATGCAAATGATATGCGGTGGGACCCTTCGCAATTACTTTTAAAATGCATCGGAGGCAGACACTCAGCAGAGAGAGACCGCCCTTCCCTCTGCCTGGGTGAAAATTAAACTCTAAAGTACCGGGCTGAAATTTTCAAGTCAGGGGCGCGGGATTGGATCAAATCACATAAACTGCAAAAAAAGCAAGTCTAATGGCGCATAATTGGTTCTGTAATAGCATTACGCCAGGATAATAGCCCGTTACGGCCCCCTGCACTATTAAGTGCTTCCCTGGCGGAAAGCCTTTATGATATTAAAGGGGGAATATAATGATATTTTGGTTATTAAATGCGTGTAATTAATTTATGCACCACTGAAAATAAAGTTGGTATTATGACCCACTCAAGATGCATCAGAAGATGCAAGTCAGACAACTGTTGATAAGTTCTGGTGTCTGTGTTCCGTCTAGACTACTGATTTTATTTTGGGACGATGGCTTCTTGGACAGACTGCATAAATTGAATATTTTATAAACATTCTAATGCTGCTTTCGGGAGCCATGGCGAGGCGGTGGGTCGGGTCCGCGCATCGCCTGGGATCCAGCCTTGACCTTAACGACACAGCGCGTTGGAAACAAAAGGCCTGGCGGCCCCGCGGGTGGACACCCTTCCGAAAACCTCTTCGGCCGAGGCAAGTCGGAGCCCGGTGCACCTCTGCGGCCCCTCCTGGGCACCGCCGGCCCTGGCACGGGGAGTCGGCCCCGCAGCGCGGAAGAACCCGCTGGAAACTCCGGTTCGGTTCAGAGCCGAGGGAGCCCGCGGCGGCCGCTCCGTCAGGACCACCGACTCTGCAAGTCCAGCGCCGGCTCCGGGGCAGCGCGCCTGCGGGTCGGGAGGCGAATGCGGTGGCCGCGGGCAGCGGGCAGCGGAGAGAGCCGTTTCCACTTCGCCCGGAGAGGGCTGGAGCCGACCCCCGCCTCGGACAAGAAACTGAGCTCGCGTTCACTCTCCCTCCGTGTGTCTCTCGGACCCCTGCTCTCTGGAGCCCTTTTTAGGAGCCCAAGGCTCGCCCGGGTCTGCCCACAGCCCCCTCAGGCTCCCTGCCCGGCCCTCGGCGACAGCTCTCCGCCGGGCGCGCTGAGCGCTCCGGGAGCCGGGCCTGTGAAGCTGGCGAGGAGGGCGCCCGGGCCGGCTTAGCCATATGCTCCGGGCGGACCTGAGGATCTGTGCGGGGACGCTCGGCTCCAGGCGCCCGACGCCGCGAACACCGAGATCCAAGCCGCAGGTTCAGCGCCCCTTCCTGGTATCTGCCGGGGCGACGAGGTCCAGAGATGTCCTGGGTCGGACAGGCTTGCCCGGGTCTGCGGGCGGCACTCTCTCCGCGCCTGCGGCCGGTCAGAGCCCTGGACAGCGGCGCCGGCTCCTCGGGGGCCGCGGAGGGAACCGGGAGGGTCCGGGCGTCCTTCTGGGCCCCCAGATGCGCCGCGGTCGGGCTCGCCCCGCCGGACCCCGGGCGCTCGGGAACCAGCTGGCATCCTCTGTGGTCCAAACCTGCAAAAGTTACTTGGGACGCGCGCTCGGCGCTCCCTGCAGGGACCGAAATCTCGATTCCGCGCTCCTGCGCTCGGCCCTGCCCGCTCTCCCGCCGCCGCCTGGCCCCGGCCCTCCCGGCGCCCCAGGCCAGCCTGGCCGCCTGCCTTGCCGGACAGCCAGCGGGCTCCCGGGACACTCACCTCTCCTGGGGCTCGGGGCCCGCTCGGGACCCTCGGCCTCGCCCCAACCGACGTCTCCTCTCTGCCCGAGCCTCCAGACCGGGCTCCTTCTTGTTGACAAAATAGCAAATAAACAAACAACCCAGCAATGTTAGTAACGAAAAGCTACAGCAAACTTTGACGACGCGAAACCCCCCTTTTCCCTCTGATTGCCTCGCACAACCCCGGTCGGGGAGAAGGTGACTAAATATGTATTCGCTACCGTACCCCTCCCTCCAAAAAAGGCGTTATTAACGAAAGGGTTCTTTTTTCTTAATTCTTGCGCGGTAAAATGTATTTTTCAATTAACCAAATTCACCGATCTGTCCCGCTTGGACACTCTGATGATTTACAACCTAAAAGTGTACTTTCTTTATCTAAAGACCAAGGTGACTGCTTTTAATTTTCTCTAACCTCTTTACACTTGATGTTCACCAGACTCATAACGTTAATTGGCTTCATATACGGATCATCAGTTTAATGAAGAAATAAATCCTGTGTTGCTTTATGTTTTAACAGTGATTGCTTTAATGAGGAATGTGACGTGTTCCAAAATCAAAGCTACAGGAGACATTAGAAGGGGCTTCTATTAGGACAGAGATACTTCAGGTTAAAGCCACCGGTCATATTTCAACAAATTCTCACGCCAGGGGCCATTCGCACCTCCACCCGGTGCTTCCAGCTTCTGGAAGAAGCCGACTCTGGTTGGTCCTCAGGGTTCCTTCTCTCGTATTTAATACTCACAGCCTCCATTCCCTATACGAATAATTTTCTGGTTACTAAACAGGCAGCTACTTTACCTCCTGTCCAGCAGAGCAGAGAGGAGCCAGAGAAGAGTGGGGAGGTCAGCTTTCAAGGTTGTTCACTTTTTAAAAAATAAAATAGAAGCGGGAAGAGAGTACACGCAACCCCGCAGATCTGTGTGCAGGGGCTGCAGAGGCGGCTCCCCCAGAGCAGCTCGCCCTGCACTGAACTCAAGCCTCAGCTCTGACAGGAAGGCAGCTCCCGTCCAGGCCGCGGCTGCAGCCCACGGGCAGGCGCTGGGCTCCTGCCTGGATGATAGGAGTTTTCCATCTCCATACCAATTAATAGGGGAGTAAAGCTGCTTTCTCCCACGGCTGTTTGATTTTTCTAATTTTAAACATGTTCTATGAAGGGAAAACTGTCATCTCCAAAACACTGAGAGCAGCAATAAAACGCTGGAAGTTGGAACATCTATACCTGTAAGCCCTAAATTGTCTTTCAGTTGAATTATAAATTATTTTAAATTGATTCCTGAAAAGAACCTTAAATCCTTAGAAAACGTAGGGAGTTGATGCGCCAGGCTGGCGTCTCCAACTTACCATTTGCTGTTTTGGGAAAACTGGAGAAACGTTTGAAGGCACCACTGTCAACCTCTTTTGAACCCAAACGCATGAACGTGTATGTTGGACCTGACATCCTAATTGTTCTCAGAGAGTTCTTACCAACCTCCCTTGAAAACTTTCTTTAGCAGAAACAATTTCAGTAAACACGAGCTAAAATCGTAACAGTGGGGTGAAGCAGGAAGAAAAAACACACTGAATTCCTATTATGGGTTTTGGAAGGGTTTCAGTGGTTTGTAATGTCGCTTTGTTATTAGATTTTTTAAAGGCCTCTCCGATGTAATCCCAGGGGCCACACAGTTCTCCCAAGGCAGGAGGTGCCGCGGTGCCTGCTCAGTATGGACACCAATTCTACTGTCATCTTGTAGTTTGGGAAATTGCCAAGGAAGCTTGGGTTAGCTAAATATGATGGAATATGTGAAAAAGAATAACAGTTCATTGAAATTCCAGATAAACAAGGAACTATGAACAGCAAGAAATATATATATATATACACACACACACGCACACATATGTGTGTGTGTGTGTGTGTGTGTGTGTGTGTGTATAAAATCAGGGATAGATACACATTTTATTATCTTGGAAATTCCCTACCATTCCTTAGTAAAAAGCAAAAGCAGCTACTTAAATGCAAGCCACCCTCCAGTGACTTTGCAGGAGCGGCCACAGGACAAAGCGTTTTCTCGCGTTGTTCCGGAGGAATCACAGCTCAGCTCCAGACTGCGTACCCCTCACAAAACAAGAAAGCAGGCCCCTGCTTTGCAGAGTCTGTGCACACCTAGCTCCAGTCACGCAGGCCCC